CATATAAATAAAACTACTTTTTTATGGTAATTAGTGTAGTGCATTTTATTGAAAATAAATACATACTCCCTGAAATAAAAATAAAATATCAATAATAACTTTAAATAAACGTTAGAATTAATATTACGGTAATCTTAATATAATATTGTAATAAAGTTGATAGTTTGTTTAAATTTTTGTCTCAAAAACGTTACAGGAATGATAGAAAAACCTTAGCAAAATGTTATTTGCAACGTTATGGCACTCCCATTTCAACATTACTGAAATTTCGGAATCGTGGTCAAAGTATATTCATAATGGTGTTCTATACAACATTAAGAACTACATATTTAACAACATTACAAGTTCTAGAATATCGTTGCAATAACATTGTAATAATGATTTTTTGCTTACTGGGACGAATGATCCTTATATATGAGCGTTGTGAGCGTTAAGTAGAACGCATTCAAAGCCAAATTAATGTACACGTACCTGTATCACTTGCTGTATTTCTATGAAATTGATTCCCTGCGTAAAGGCTATGGAAAGCCACATAGCTTTAACGACACTGGCCGATAAAATTCTTACGGACTACAATGCGAGACTTATAACTTATGACTATATATACGCGACTTACTACCCAAATAGCACACAATATTTATAAAATATGTACAAAATATTTATAATAATTATTTGAATATTTTATAAATATTTATCAAAATATTTTATAAATATTTTTGTAGTCTTAGATTGAACAGATGATAAATATTTATTATAAATATTATAAAAATGTTTATTGTAAATATTATGGTACGTATTATTAAATATTTATTAAATTATTATGATAAAGATTTTGTAAAATATTGTTACTTTTTTTACAAAATGTTTAGGAAAGGTTTTTGGAAAGGTAACAAGAATATGTCTTTCTTTTTTTCTATCATATCGTTTATTTCAAAAATTTCTGAGACGATAGCCAAATCTGTCAAGAGCAGATTTTGAAGCTGCTACAAATTTTAACAGAATTTGCTAACAGAATATAATGGCAGATTGACTGCAGAAACTAAGCAGAATCTACCGTTTAGTAATCATTTAAATGATATATTTCATTTACATAGTAACGAAATGATGATAACAATTCTGTACGTTTTTCTACCGACAATCTACTGGCTAGGCCGAGATTAATCGATTTAGTTGAAAATTGATAAAGTATTATAACTTGTTAGAGAGAGTTCTCTAGTTTGTACAATAATATAAAATTTACCCTCGATCGAGCTATCCAGATATACAGGGTTCCTTAAAGACCGCGCACTAACTACATAGCGTTATTCCTGATCAAAAATTGAGTCAAAAAGTCCCGAACCATTTTCTTCTATAATGCTTTACCAAGCTGTAATTATTGAGTAAAGTCAATCCAATCAGTGCCGACCTTTAGCCGGGCGCACGTCAGTGAGCCCCGCGCCTGGTAGTGTGCGTGAGCGCTCCACCGCTACGTCAACGCTACGCGGCGGCGGCGCGCGGCCCGTCCGCGGCGTTGCTGCGTCTTCGCGCGCGCGTCGCGTGGAAATATTCTTACGCATCGTAATAATAGAAATAATTTTTTCTTGCACTAAGAATTACATGTTACTTCTGTCAGAAGTACCTTCTTACAGAAAATTTCGGTGAACTCTCGCCAAGACATAAACCATCTTCAACACATAAAGATTTAAACAAATACAAAAAAATAAACTGTGTATTTTACAAAAATTATTTTCTAAACAATCCGTTTTGTTAGATATCTCTGCGTTAATTAAAATTAAATTTTGAAACATAGCACTTATTCAATCTTTCTACGAGATTCACCTAGTTACTCAGAAGTAATAAATTTTTTAAGAGAAATAACAATTAGATATTTAAATAATCTTATGCTTAAAAGAAAATACGTAAAGCGTATTAAAAAATAAAGAAAGATTTCTTCCTTTATGAGAAAACAATTTATCTTAAGTCAAGAATAACGCTTTTCAGATGTACAATTTTAAACTTAAGGTAAATGAGAGCAAAACGCCGATTTTATAGCGAATAATAAGTCGCTCATTTGCTGCAACAATGACAAAACTCAAAAATCGCTCTTTTTGAGTTATTCGTACAGGGAAAAAATGTTGTTACACGTACTATTCACAGTTAAATCGGTTTCACGAACTCACCCGAGAGAACAGTTGTGTCGCTATTGTGCCATATCATTTAATGAATTATGTAGGTTGCAATACTGTACTGAACATCGTAAAAGTTGCAAAAAGAGTAACTTGTCAATACGGCATTTTAAAATTCTCATAGAAAGTATAACAACTCAAAACTTTAAAACGTGTCTCCTGAAAAATCACAATTTTTTAGTTATGTCACTGTTGCGGCAAATAAATAATAACACATTTAATAATTTAAAACAAAATACAATTTAAATGTATCGTATTTCGGTCTTAGTTTAGACTTTCTTCAGTATAATATTTCGCAATTATCTTAAGTCTAATCGTCAACAACCCATAAATAAAAATAAAATGTAGTTATATTCGTAAGGAACACCCTGTATGTGGATTCTGCCGTTATCGTTCTCCCAATGCGGAGCTCCGACTACAAGATCATGCAGATCGTCGTTGTTTAAATCACCGCTCTAGCCAAGCTCGCCCCGAAGAATTTGCCGATGCCAGTATCACGAAGATTGGTGATCAAGGGTACAAAATCTCCGTTCAAATCGACTACAGCGACCTATAATATTTGGGGGGTCCCATTTGCCTACAATCCCGATTGCCAACAGCTTCGTTTGCCCACAACATTTTGCCTACAGCTTCGTTTGCCGACATTCCCGATTGCCTACAGAGCGATTGCCTACAAGCATTATTGCGCACATGTAATAGTTAAAAATATACGAACGTACGTTTGCGCACACGTACGGCCAAACACATTGCACACATGACATTATTGCGCACATACACATTGCACACATAATATTATTGCGCACATAAAATAATAAAATCATATTAGCACATTGCACACATAACGTATTGCACACATAATATTATTGCACACATAAAATAAGAAAATCATATTAGCACATTGCACACATAACGTTATTGCGCACATACACTTTGCACACATGACATTATTGCGCATGCACATACACATTGCGCACATAAAATAAGAAAATCATATTCTAGCACATTGCGCACAACGTATTGCACACATACACTTTGCACACATAACATTATTGCGCACATACACTTTGCACACATGACATTATTTACGCACATACACATTGCACACATAATATTATTGCGCATATAAAATAAGAAAATCATATTAACACTTTGCACACATAACGTTATTGCGCACATACACCCCACACAGCACAGGATATTTTGAGGGACATTTGTGCATCCACTGAATATCCACCGGATATTAAATATCCACTGGATATCCACCGGATATTAAATATCCACTGGATATCCACCGGTTATTGAGATATCCCACTTTATCTGTAGGACGTCCCTCAGATAAAGTGTGCTGTGTGGGACATTGCACACATAATATTATTGTGCACATAAAATAAAAAAATTATATTACCACATTGCACACATGTTCATCCCAAGTCTTAAGGGGAACAGAAAAGTCAAAATATAGTCTGCATTATGATCCCACATCGACTAAATTTACTGATTTTTTATCACGATTGAAATCTTGATCTTAGATGACTTAAAACAGACTTTATGCTGACTCCTCTCTTTTTATTATATCCTTTTGATTTTTAAAAAATGTGGTATCCAGACAATATACATATCTCAAATCAAGACAAATGACGTCTTAAGGACGTCATTAAGACGGTACATCTTCAAGACGTCTTATGATGTGACGTCTTTCTCTCCTTTTCTCTCTCTCTCTCTCTCTCTCTCTTTCTCTCTCTCTTTCTCTCTGTCTCTCTCTTTGTCTCTCTGACCTAGTTTACATCGTGCATTTGATACGCGTATCAGGTACTATATTTGTACCAAATTCGTACTAAATATTTAGTACGCACGATGTAAACACTGCCGAATCAATTTGGTACGAGCGTATTAAATAGGAGTATCGTACTAAACTGATACGCGTACCAAATGATACAAATGACCGCGACGGTCATGACGCGATACAAATGACGATGTAAACGCATGAAACTCAGTTTGGAGGGAATTTAGTATTGAGCATAACCTCAATGCTAAAAACCGGTTACTTGTGACTTGTAGCTCTGTAATTACGTAAAAATGTCTTGTAAAAAAGGATTGAATTGGGGAGAGGAAGAAACCCGAACATTTTTAGAGTTATGTACTGACAGACAAATAATTGCATTAATGGACGGAAAAAAACATAAACATGTAGATATTTTCAACTTATTAGTAGAAGATATGGAAAAAAAAGGTTTTTCTAAAACGGCCCAACAGATGAAATTAAAGTTAAAAAATTTAAAACTAGCTTATTATATAAATGTAAACGTGAAAATAATGTTAGTGGTGCAGCAAAAAAAACCTGTCCATTTTATGAACAATTAGACATTTTGTATAGTACTCGGCCAAATGTGCAAGTTCTTAACGATTTTTCAGGAATCGACACTGCTAATGTTCAAAATGAATCATGTAATTATCATAATTAATTTATATATAAATGAAATTAGCTAATTTATGTGAAATGCTTTAAATTCTTGAATTTTTTTATCTTTGAATTTGTACTCAAAGCCTAGATGATACAAAGTACATTTTTTTCTGTTTCAAAATCTGTAATAAAAACTAATAAATAAAAGAAAGTAAAACATAAAACTTAGTTAACGTAGTATAACATCCACTCAGAATCCTACTCCTGAAACGTTCGATAGTGTACATAATCATTATTAAAATAAAGAAATAATTAATTGAATATGATTTCAGCATGTGAATATACAGAGGATTGTTTAACTATAAATGACAGTGACATCCCAGAAGAAAGCGAGTCTAGTTCAACTATCAGCAATATGAACCTCCTAGAAAAAAGAAACGTGGATTGCTTTCAGGTATAACGCTATTAAATAATATCAGATGTTTCTGGTCAATTAGCTGCAATTTTAATGTAATACCAACTTTAAATGTATAATGTACATACATATATCGTTGATAAAATTCTACATCATATAATATATATAGATTATTGTACATCAATGTTATGTAATATTGATATTAGCAGATAAATATAAGTATTAATATAGTTATAACAACATTACAGGTAGAAAAAGCTACGAAACTATTCTAGACAAGTATACAGAGAATCTGATGCTATCACAACAACAACTTTTATCAGATATTATTGTAAAACAAAATGACATGCAGAAAGAGATGATAAAAGTTGAAATGGAAAACCAAAGATTATGGGAGAACGAAATAATAGAGAAGGAGCATGCATTTCAAAGAGAACAGATGCAATCTTTTGTGCAAGCGTTGCAAGTAATAAATTCTCAAGCTTCTCCATCAAATTATGGAATGCCACAAAATTTTCTTATGCCTCAAAATTATGGAATATCACCAAACTATAAGTTGCCACAAAATGTCAAAATTATTCCAGTATGTTTATAATAAAATTAGTCCTGTGTTAAGCGACATTTGCGTAAGCAGCATCCGCAAACTTGACAAATTTAATCGTAAAGATTGAGGAAGGAATTGGTTAATTCCGTTAAATCTGACAAAATTGACCGTTTCTCTTCTAAACCATTACAGTTGAATTCGTTAAGTTTACGGATATAAATCACGTTTTATAGTAATATATATTAATTACTTACATAATATAACATCTTGTTTAATAGATAAAAGAAGGAAGTATCATTGGGTCAAGCCAAATAAATAAATCAATGGCGTCAACATCCACATCTTCTACCAATAGACCAATGGTGTCAACATTCACATCTTCTACCATTACTGAGGAGAACAACAACGACAATTCAAAGGCATGAAAATTTTTTGAAACATACTGAGCAATACAAAAATAAAAGTATATATAAGTGCCATGGATATATTATATGAACAAAAAAGTGTTATAAAACATGTTAAGTTTAAAATTTTAATGTACTGAAACCAAAGAATAAGGGAACGGTACCAATACCCGAACATGTACCTATATCCGAATACCTTTATTATTTATAATTATAACGCGAGTTAATTTCAAAGATAAAAGTATTTTTTTTTTGTAGTTTGAAACTTTAGTTATAATATCCAAACGTTTATTTTCATGAATTTATATTTTTTAAAACGTATCCAGACACAGATACATGTTCGGGTATTGGTACATTTCCTATGCTTAAGTGTTCGGGTATTGATACCTTTCCCTTATACATATATAACTATATATAATTATAAGTAGGCATAAGATAACTATAAGTAAGAATATAAGTATATATATTATAAGATGAACCAAAGTGTTATAAAATATATTTAGTTTAAAACTAATGTACTGTGAAATCAAAGTATTATAAATATTAAGTTTAGTACAAGACATTTAGATACAATAAGGTAAAATGTTATTAAAATTTAAACCTGTTCAAATGCATATAAAAAATATTAAATAATATAAAAAATGTTACATAAATAAATAGAAGTATTGATTAATATTTACATTTATTATATATACATATACACATATTTATTAACACACATTAGCTAAGAGTAGAACTTCAACAGACAAAGTAATTCCGTTTTATAATACATCAAAGACAATTGTTTATCTTAATAGTGTTTTTCGAAGAGGAAAGTTTGCGGCTAAGTAATCTTTTAGACATTCTCGTATAATAGTAGAACGTATATTGTCTCGTTCACAATTTATTTGTTGTCTTGGTTGTACAAATACTTCATCTAATTCAATAACCGGTTGCAACCACTCTTGAAGAAATCTGTCTTTATTGTCTTCACAAAAATTGTGCAGCACACAACATGCAACTATAACTTGAGGTACAAATTTATAGTTACAATCAACTTTTTTCTGTAATATTCTCCATCTAGCTTTCAGTCTTCCAAATGCCATTTCCACTGAAACCCTTGCGGAATTGAGGTAGACATTAAATGATTCTTCTTCAGGTGAAAGTGAATCAGAATAACTCTTTATTAACCATGGCAGAAGTGGATAGGCTGGATCTCCAACTATCATGAAAGGTATTCCTTGGCCGTTTACATGTTTTTCCATCTATAACAAAATAAAAGTTAAAAAAAAAAATAAATCAGTCTCATATATATAAATATATATATATATATATATATATATATATATATATATATACAAACATATATAATTAATAACAAATATGACAAATAGTTTACAGTTATTTAAATTGAATTATATATTATTATCTACAATTTATCAGTTCCAAAATGTACAGATAAGAAAAAAAATTTATATCGATATGAGTAGACTTGTCAAAATAGGCACTAAGTGAAATAATCAGTCAAAATTCATTTCAAAGTCGATTCTACTGACAAGAATCAAATACATAATTTATAAATAACAAAGATAAAAACCTGTGGTATTATTTCTTGTGAGTGTTTGTATAATGTACTATCTTTGAAAACTGCAGCATCATGAACACTACCAGGGTGCTTGGCAAAGACATTACGAAATCTGTAAATAATATTGTAAATGTAAATAGACAGTTATTTGTATACATTTTCAGAATAGACATTTTCTTATTAATATGTATATTTGTATCATATCTTTCAATTACCTTCCATTATGATCAACTATTGCTTGAACATTGTAAGATGTCCATCCTTTTCTATTTACAAAATCTCTATAACCTTCTTCTGGTACTGTAATAGGTATATGTGTTCTATCGATGCAACCAAGTATTTGAGGGATATGAGAGATGTTTTCAAATTGCATTGCAATATATTATGCCGGTTCCTTATACGGAATTATGAATACATTTGGCAGTTTCCCCGGATTCATCATTCCACCTATTATTGGCGCTTTGACTAATGAAAAAGTATGTTATTACTTTTCTACATCAAAATTACGTTGAAAACATAAAGAAATTTTCTAGCCTTTGAAATTGCAACTATTTGAGGAAAAAGTGTACATAAAATAATTTTATATATTCTTCATATTTTTATGCATTTATTTTGTTATTATACATAACTGTAGATACTTTTTATATTACATTTTACTTATATTCTCTAATATATTATGTTTTATAGAACGGCGTGGAAGAATGGCGTGTAATGTTTTGGATATCGGCGGTAGTGTTTATATCGGCAACAGTCCTCTTTTGGCTATTCGGATCTGCGGAAATTCAACCATGGAACGATTCGAGTCAGGTAAAAGTGCCCACGCTTTCCGAAGAGGAGATGCAGATAAACGAAACGACGAAGAAAGATGATGCGGATAATACGGAAGCCGAGGAAAATGAACGTCTCTAGTGATTTAGGAAATGAAATAAAATAAAAAAATGTGTGTATTCATGTCTGTACAAAAATTAATAGTTCAATGTTGGGAAGAGAGTGCATCTGAAATTGCAAAATTTGATCTCTGTTAAAATGTCATACTTTATATACGATTACAGACCAACGTTTGTACAGCTTCTAATTGTTAATTTGTAGAAAGATAATCGCTAGATTATTATTAGTACATTGAAATTTGGAACGGGAGAATTGAAATGGATGTACGGAATATTCGATATAAAATATTCAATTATATTATAATATATTTAAAATATTCGTGCTCCAGTTACAGATACACGTTGCTAGAATATCACGACATATCTTTCGTCTTAATTCGATTTACTTTTTTTAGACACGGAGGTATTTTTTCACTCTCTTTTTTTACTGTTACTATATAAGACTGTGAAAGCTGAAACTTAGATTTTATACATTTTACGTAATTTTCAAGCGTTTGTATTGTCTCGATTATTTAAGTATTTATATGATATTACGCTTTTGTCATTCATACATTTGAGTGTGTCACGGTCGTGATCAGTTAATACCCGGGGGAACTATAGAACGTGGTATTCAAACAATGTAATGTATCGGCAAAATGTAAGAATACTCGGTAGTGCATTTCTTATTTCGTGCCAAAGTACACGTATGTTGCTCTCATTAAACACTCGACAAAACTGTCGATATATGCATCTAATGCTAGGTTGAGGAACCTTGGCACTGTCTTCAGGCCAATAAACGCTCGAGGTTACTCGATATTATAAATGCATTACGATAGGTATATTTAAATCGTTATATATTTCTTGCTATACGTAATGAACCCTTTGCGAGGTGATTTCATAACTGTGATAAATATTGGCAGTAATTTACGCACAACAGTTTAACCGCGGTACTTGACCTATAATCTCGATTTTCTGAGACTATAAATCATGTACCATTTCAAAGGGCATCTCAAATACTTAAATACGAAAAATCTCGCTTTATGCAATAATTACTTGAACCCCATTGGTCGCGTATAACAAGAAATCTTTATGTACCCTTCCCGTCGTTTACGAGCGCTCAACTGTGTACAAATAATGTGTAGTTGTAGCGATAAAAGCAACTCATCTTCTAATTTTCATTTATGAGGTGCATTCGTGAGAAAGGCGACAATGTCAAGCGATCGAATCCTTTGCTTCCAAAGAAAGACATTGCGCTCGTGAATAAGTGGAGAAGAAATATATTACGTAGATCGTGAGAAGTGTTACTTGTACAATTGTACATTAGAAATTGTACGTCCGCACTATAGGAAAATAAGAGATGCTAAATGTGTTGTTCCTACATTTTCTTTTTTTATTTTAGAAAAGATGATTATTGTTCAAGTCGAATTTTCGACGTAATGTTCATCGTGCTGTCAATAATAATGTTACTACGAATTACTTTAAGATCTATGTGAAGCAAGTATTTAGCAATAATATTTGTTGCGCGTGTGAATTGTAAAAAATGATACATGAACATTACAACTCGCTGTTTTAAAGTAAATTAAATCATAGCGCAAATTTATGTGCGCCGTAATATTATTGATTGTTAAGTTGTGCAGACGTGCATACTTTTATTTACACAATAATACGTATATCTTTTCAAATCATTTCACTTTTCATATCTTTTTCTTTATATTATTTTTATGATTAAGTCATGACAGCATTTGTTTTATGAATTTTACATAGTGAAATATAGCGGATTTACACATGTAAGGAATAATCGAATATATTTTGTGCGATTTCATTACATAGTAATAAAGAATGTTATGTATCCACAAGTGGTAAAATTTATTATTTATTAAATTTTAATTAATTAAGTCTGTTGATTTTCTTGGTTTTTAGACTAACTAATAAAAAAAAAACAGGTCAATCTAATACAATTATGCATGTTCTTTTTTATTCATGTCATCTAAATTTCTAAGAAAAATGTATTATGTATACTTTTTTGTATATTAAAATTAGTTTCCTTATCTTAAAATCCTTATCTTAAAAGTGCATAACGATTATATGTAAAATTCATTTCCATTGATTTTTATTATTATATCTGTCCCCGAGATTTTGATAAAAATCGAGCAGGAAACAGCTCTAAATTTATCGACTCTCAGTCTAGTGCAAACTTTACCGTTAATATTAATATATTATTGATGGATTATTATCTATGACATTGGTTTAGGCTTAATAATGTGCATTTTTTTATATTGCAAATCATATATTTCTCATTTATTGTATAATTTTATTAAACAAATAACGCTCCTGTGTTGTCAAGTGTAAATATAAGTGTTAAAACGAAAAACACGAGTGCAAAACGTGATCTTTAATATCTGTAATTTAAAATGGAAACGCTCTCGAAGATAATTTTTTGCATCAGAATTTCGAAATAACTTTTGTCATGGTGCAATGCTAGCGGTGGTAATACTACTTGATTGATTATTTGATTTGTTCATTTACATGATTTATGCACGAATTTTCGCGGACAAATTGGAGGCTGAAATGGAGGCTCAATACCTTGAGCACTATCCAGAGCATTAGTTTTCAATGTCGTATCATCGCCGATTTAACTGTATAAACGGCGATAAACAAACTGCAGCTATATAGTTCATCGCATCGTGTTGCGTTAGGAATGCCGTTCAAGTAACCAGACGAAAAGACGTTTTTAAACGTAAAGATCGAATAGTCTTTACATGTAATTAAAATCAGTACAAAATTATTTTTTTCAAAAAAAGGTAAAAAAGGCGTCAAGTACACGCAATGTATTTTTTAAATTCAAAAATCCAACCTAAGTGGTAACTTTATTTCTTCTTCACAAAATTATATTACCTAACTTAACTCAAGTGACATGTATTTCTAAAAAAGATGTGATACATGTAACAGTATAACTGTTTTGCTATTTTTGTAAAATGGGATATATATTATATGATTTACTCCCCAGATAAAAAATATGTAAAGTTACGTGACACAGCACGAAAATCACACGATTTGCAAATAAAATGTAGACTTCTCTTTTAATTTTGTATCTTCTTAAAATACACTACGCAACATAAAAATTCACTCGTCGGTTTTTTCTTACAAATGCAATATTGATTATCTTAGAGAATGACTACAAAAATGCACTGTTTAGCCATTATTGGAGAAATTACAGCCATGGGCCATCTTTTCCGTATGGCCATCATACCCGAGTTTACCCTATACGTAGATATATATATATATCGTAAACGTGTTCAGGGTGCGCAAGAATTTGTAGTGCCCACAAATCAACCGGGTAACTTTTACTCGCTGGTACAGAGTCCTCAACAATTCAAGCACGTTCTTATGGTATAGGTGGCTTCGATAGATACTTCCAAGTCGTCCGATTACAGAGATGAGAGTGCCAGGCATGACAGATAGCCAGAATTTACACAGGTACACTGCGTTCATATATGTAAGTAATATTTTATATTTTATTATCAGTATATAAACTGGTGTCTCTTGATATTGTTTTTTAGATTGACGTATGGGCGGCCGGAGTAATTCTATATATTCTCTTTGCGGCTTTCCGTCATTCATCGTATCGTTAGATAACGAACAGGAAGAATTATTTGAGCGTATTCTGAGCGATCATATGAATTTACATCGCCGTATTGGGATGCGATAGGTATCGGATTCCGCAAAGCAGCTCATTTCAAATATGCTGCAGGCACAGCCAGAACTTCGCTTCAGCGCGGAGGACGTGTGTTAGATCATCCATGGCTCGCGATAACTGTCACTGTATTATAAACATCTTGATAAGCAATGTCGAATCGATCGAAACTCACTGCCGGCAAAACGGGGTGCACCAGGAGTCTACAAGTGCTATCGGAAATGTGTAATGCAGAAACTTTGGTGCATTGATAATACAAGATAATTAATTTAATTTCGTTATGCTAATCAATGTCGCATATTTTTTATTCCAAGAATCGCATATTATTTTCCATTTTAATAATGAATATGGCAATTGTACTTATAGTTTATTTAATTTTCAATATTTAATTGCAATTAATGTGACATGTGACAATGCACACATAAAGTATAATATCTCTCATTTTCGCGCACCTGTATTTATGCAATTTTCTGAATCGATTGTAACTTTGTCAAATGTTCTCCTGCTCTCCTATTATACTGATACTGATATTTACCACATAAGAAGATTCTGCATTACCTAATCTCTAATTTTTTTAATAAAAGAACGCTTCTATGTTTGCTGTGCGATAACAAACGTGATCTTCATCCGCATAATTTACGTAGAATTTACTTAATAACTTTCTTCTCCGGCTATTTAGTTTCTCTGGACTCTATGGCAATCAAATGATAGTGTAAGAAACTTTGGATGTTCACGACACTTATGTGATTCATATATTTTCTTATAACACGCGATTTTTGTGTAATACAGAATACAGTTATTCTCGAACTTATCTAATTTCAGATAGATGTTTTAATTTTAAATGTGTACTCGACAAGTTTCGCGCAACTAAAATATGATACAGCATTTAAAAGTAGAGAGAGAAGTTGATCTACATATAAAGCCTTGAATTCGTTTCGAGCAAGCAAGTTTGAAGAATCTTTATATACGGGGTGTCTCAGGCATTCTATGCCGGACTGCAATTGTTAGAGGCCAAATTAAAAATCTAATTGTAAATAGATTTGTTTTGCTATCGATGCGTTAACAATTTTACAGTTAAGTAACCGATATGAACGGGATACAGTGTCATCAAATACACTTATCTGCAAAGATATCTTAAGCTATCGTACAATTATAATCTGCGGCTTAAAAGTAATTATTATGTTTACTCTTCACGTATTAAGCATAAGAAGGTGTCACCTAATTAAACCACACAACTGGCTCTTAATACAAAATAATATATGCATATATTTATCACATGTATATCAATATAGAAGATTTGTACATCGATCATTATTACAACTGTTGTGTATGCGTTATGTGTAACTCCTCGCGTATAAATGTGCAAAAAAAAAGATATTAAACATAAAAAGAGTGTATCAATCGCCTAATTAAATATACACACACAACACGCAATGCTAAGTTCGCGATACAACTGGCTCTATGTACATCAACAGTATTTCGATCGATCATTCGATCATTACTACAACTAATTTCACTCAGCAAATCTTGTGTCGCGAATTTAGCATTGCGTGTTGTGTATGCGTATGCGTGTACCAAGTAGCATTATGGCAAAGAAAATGTAGAGTCGCGGCGCGTGCCAATTTCACACTTTGTTAATGGTTAAAGATCCTACTCGTTAAGAATCACATTTGCTAAAAAAAAAGTAATAATAAAACGTATACACTTACATCCCTACATTTTATTTATTATCCCTACACTTTTTTCTTTCTTATTATTTTTGCTATTCTTATATCTTCTAAAATTATACGGCATTCTCAAAAATATATCATAGCTGAATTAACTCGCATATCTTGCTCTCTTTTTTTTTCTCCATTGGTTAACTTCTATTCGCCTCCCGACTTGACGTATATGCTACTATACTCATCCAAGACGTTATATTCGCGACATTTACATTCTTTTTCTTCAATCGCTCTAAAAAAAAAGAATGTGCCATCTTGAATTTAAGCGATTGATCTCCCTAAAGGATTTAAAAGTTACGCTTTGCGAAGGCATAAGATATACGTTATAGCTGGAAAGTCGATTCACAGCGGGATTAGAAAAAGTTATATATAACAATAGTTTCCCTTTCATATCATTACAATCTTCTTCAACAGTACTCTAAGAAACCTGCAAATCCTATCACTTTACGCACTGGCGACAAATGGGTACATACGAATTGTTTGTCGAAACCTTAAAACTAAAAGAAAGATACGCATATTAACAAATATTTTGCAGATTTTCTACTTAACGCGATCATGTTGTAATTTTTATAAGTTGTAATTTTTTTCTGTGGTATAATACATATGTATAGCATTAGCATTAATTATGCTACATTGCGATTATGTTTTATGTCGAAATTGAAAAATATATACAAGGTGTACAACTAACAGGGTTTAGAAATAATAGTCTGTAACACCTTCACACTCTGTACATACTGTTTATAAGATTATAAGATATATTGTTTATAAGATTAAGATACGTAACACTACAAAAAGGCGTGATATCCGTACAAAATTACCTTTCTTAAAAAAAAAGGTAAAGAAAGGCGCCCCAAGTACACGTATAGTAGTGTATATGTTGTTACCTCGAAAAAAATAGTGGTAGTATTATATATCTCGAAAAAACCTAAGTAACAAGTGGTAAACGTAATATCTTTGTACCTCGCAAAAAAGCCTAAGTAAGAAGTAGTACGTAATTATCTTTGTATCCCGAAAAATCTCGAAAAAACCTAAGCAGTAGTATCTTTATTTCCAAAAAATTACATCACAAAATTACATTACCTTATCAAAGAAGAGTCGCGCTTCAAGTGATCTATTACAAAAAGGAAATGATATCTCTTTAAATTACAGCGCCAATTACAGAGAGAACATATATATTGCCTCAATAAATAACACAGGACCACAAAAAAAATTTTTAGAAAGTCAACTGGGATCAAAGTAGGTGTTTCTTATAGATTTTGGGTCACTAAATCCGAATTCGTATACCGTTTTGCTCCATCACGTCTAGGTTTTTAGATAATCGAGAAAAATAAAGGAAAATCTGTGAAAATTGAAATAAACATTTGGAGGAAGAGCAAAAGTATAACATCAAAATGCGGTCGCCAGGGCCGTGCGAAGAGAACGGGGCATAGCATGTGAGTTTGGCGCCCTTTCCGCGGTTAAAAAACAAAAATTTGACTGG